AATATTACATGAATGGAATCAGACAGTATGTATGTAACCTTTTGTGAATGACTTTGTTTACCCAGCAAGAAAGGGCAGGGTGGAACTCTTCCTTTTTATCAGGAACCCATTCCCAGTAAAACTAACACAGGTCCTAGCTGAGCCTTAATTCATTCAGAGCGTCACTCTCATGACCTAATCACCTCTTAAATATCTCACCTCTTAATCTTATCACAGTGGCAATTAAATTTCAACATGAATTTTGGAAGGGACATTCAAACCATAGCAGATTGAATATATGTAAATCATTTATTTTCTTTGGAGCTATTATAAATAATACATCTTTATTTTTGGTTTTCACGTATTTATTGTTAGTATATAACAATGTGATTGATTTTTGTGTGTTGATCTTGTATCCTGTGACATTCCTGACTCGTTTCTTAGTGTTAGGGTTTGTTTTATTGTGTGTGATTTCTTGGAATTTTCTATATAGACAATTAATCTGCAGATAGAGTTTTATTTTTTCTTCTAATTTATGTGTCTGTTATTTCTTTTTCTTGCGTTATTGTAGTGGCTAGATCATTCAGTATGGTGCTGAACAGGGTGGTAGGAGTGGATATCCTATCCTGGGCATGTAATATGGAAATCTCACCTCCATATTTGGGTCAGTCCCTTTACCTTCCCCACTTTTAAATATTATCGTCTTGAATATCACATGGTGTACAATTTTTGTTCTGATCATCAAGTATGATTTAGAACATGTATATGGAAAAGAATAGTCTATTGTATTTACCCATATTTTTGCCCTTTTTGTTCTTCCTTCTGATACTTCATAGTTCCTTTTTTTATCGTTTTCTGTTTGAAGAACTTTCTTTAGCCAGTATTTAAGATGAGGGCTATTAGTGTGGCAGGTTCTTTTAATTTGTCTTTGTCTGAGAATGTTTTCATTTTCTTTTTTTCCTGAAGAATAGCTTTGCCAGATAAAGAATTTGTAGTTAACAGTTCTTTTCTTTCAACATTTGAAAAAAATGGGACACTTCCTTCTGGCCTCCATGGTTTCAGATAATAAATCCATTATTATTCACATGAATATTCCCCTACAAGTAATGTTGTTCTATCTGCTTTCAAAATTTTTCCTTTTCTACCTACTTTTCAAGTTTCAAATTATGGTGTAACTTGACATGAATTTCTTTGTGTTTGTCCTGTTTGGGAATAATTTAGCTGCTTGAATCTGTAGGTTTGTGTCTTCTACCGAATTTTGGAAGTTTTTAGATATGTCTTATAATATCTTTTAGCTTCACCCTCTTTCTCCTTTTCTTCTGGGATTCTCAGTGCAAGTGAGCCTACTTGAGCTCTGTTCTGTTTCTAGCTCCAGAATTGCGAAATACTAGGTCTGGGTGGGCTTCTTATTTTCTATTTATTTATTCATTCGTTTGTTTTGACTGGGGAGACAGAAGACATCCGAATACCATGTTCTTAAGGCTTGCAACTCCAGGCTAGTGTACTTTCTTTTTACCACTCCTCAGAATTTTCCCTTCACTGTCTCTTTTATGACTTCTACAGTTTATAGTTGTGCTTTGCAGAGGAGCAGAGAGAAATGGATAAGCCATGTTGTTCAGACTGGGAGCCCTTTACATATGTTTACCTTTTATTTTTCTTTACACAAAAATTCATTTTGAATTTTTGAATTTGTGGACACCAATCTTAGATTCGCACTTGTTATATATCAAAGTATATCATGATTATCCAACCAAGTATATTCTTTATTATGTTTTTAAAAATATATACTCAAGCCTATTTTTAGGCCCATTTTCTTCTCAAAAATTCAAAATTCACCAGAATTTATTTCCAAAAGTCTTAAAGGACGTAATAAAGAAGATAATAATAACATTCGTTTTTTAAATATTTTAATATGTGGGCACAATCTTAGATTAGCACTTGTTATATTTTAAGGTGTATACCAATTATCAAACCAAGTATATTCTTTATCAATGTTTTTAAAATACGTGCTGAAGTCCATTTTTAGGCCAATTTTCTTCTCTCATAGAAGGTAAAACTTGTAGCTACAGTGGTAGCAAATTTAAAATTGCTTTCTTAAGAGCTGAGTAGCTTGACTTGAAACGCTTTTTGATATGATGGAGTATGCAAGCATGCACGCACAAAATAGATAATTATGTAAGTTACTGTATTTTTCACATTTTTAGTTAAAATATGGGGGTTAAGGCTCTGAAAAATAAGTTACTAAAAATTGAAATGATTAGTAGACATTAGAAGAAAACATTTTCTGACAAAGACATACTCTTAAAAAGACCATTTACATGTGAGAAAGGTGCTATACAGAAAAAATTTATCAAATGCATTTTAAACATGGAAACTATTATTTGCACACTATTATAAAAACAAATATTAAGGTTTAACTTAGTTTCTGTTCTCTTTTCTTCCCTTATGATACAGTTTGTTTCCTCAAAATGTAGATTACAGTTTCTGAAAAGGAATAAATTTAGATGATATTGAAAACATGATTCTTTTATTGTTAATCTCTTCCTTTTCATATAGTTCATCACATACAGAAAATAAACCATATAAAGTGTGTATTTCATAAAAAGGAGAAACTACTTGTTATTAATTATACTGCATTTAATTATAGTAGTTGGAATACTGACACTGCTAGGAACATTGGAAACATTTCATACAATGGATTTTAAATACTTCTTAAACACAAACCTTTCCTGCAAATAAACTCTCATGTAGACACTGAGATTATCCTGCAGGAAGAAAAGGCTATCAAACTTTCTGAGATTTCAACATTTTTGGAACCCGTTCTTCAGATAGGATGCCCAAACAGAGGGACTTTAGTGAAATCACTTAACAGTCACAAAGTGTCATTTATATAGATGTAATGTTAACAAACCTGCCATCTTTTGTCCTGTTTTTAAATTTAATAGTAATTTTTCTTTTGGCAATTTCATTTTCTTTTTAAATCTTACATTAACCCTAATAATGAAACCAGCCACAAATTTATGGCAACTCCATTTGTATTTAATATAATTTATACTAAATTATTTTATAAGTGATAAATTGTCTTCATTCACTCCATTCATATGTATGTCCATTCACTAATTAATTCACTCAATAAGTACTTACTGTGCATATACTCTATAGCAAGTATTATTTAAGGAGTTGGGATAGACCAGTGAACAACAACAAAAAAAACAACTTCTTTCAAGGAGCTGACATTTCTTATGGAAGAAGAAAGGCAATAAGTAAATATATAGCATGTCACATAGTTGTGAGTGCTAAGAAGGAAAATGAAACAGTGTGAAGGAGATGGACAGGTATGCAGCAATGCTCCTGTAGGTAAGGCAGTTAAACAAGGCCTTGACTGACAGGTGACATTTGAGAAACTTGAAAGGAGGGAGTGAGTCACTCAGATATCTGGCGGAAGAGGGTATCTGGCAGAGGAAACAGATCAGAGTGCCTGAGATGGGAGTGAGCATGATTTTATGTATGCAACGAACCTCAAAGAGACCCTGAGGCTGGAGACAGGTTGAAGGTGGTGAGGTTGGAGAGTTGCAGATGGATGGATGTCTTGGGTTTTTGTTTTTGGTTTTTTAAGTTTCTTTATAAATAGGCAAGGCAGCATTGCCAAACTCCCAACTCGAGGTCCAACCCTATTATCAAAAGCTTATCTAGCTTATTGAATCCTCTCGCTTCAGAACATCCTGATCTGATTATAGTTATATTTGGGCTCTGTCACCTGCTAGTCATGCCACCATAGTTGGCCTGGTTCCTCATCTGTAAAGTGAGATTGCTAATACCTGTGCTGTCCTCCACACAAAACTGCTGTAAGGGTAAACTGACTGACGGTATTATGAAATTGTTTCAAAAAAACTACAAAATGGCTGTGGGCTATTCTTCCATAGAAAAATGACATGGGCTTTTAAGGCAGGTTTTGAAGGATCTGATGGGTCACTGTGTGAACAAGGCTTCCCATAGCAATTAGAGATAATTTCATAGTACATAGCAACTTTTGTAAAATGCAGAATTCATGGCGTGACTTTTTCCGATGGCTTCTTGGGATCAGAGCCAGAATGACCATTAAAGTAAATGTTTTGGAAATATGCATTAGTGCAGACAATTTAGCATATATACAGGTAACCATTCCTTCTCATTATCCTTTCAATGTATCATCATCTGAATGTCTGTGTACCCAAATCATTATGAACTCATCATCATGAATGTCTGTGTACCTAAATATAAAGAATCTATGCTGAGGCTAGAAAATGAGAGAACCAGACTTTGGCTTATTTTTATGCCTAAAACTGTTTTTTAACCTAAAATAGCGTACATTTTCAACCACAGAGACATTGGAGATGTGATTTGTTTTAGGACTGCCTCAATGTAAAAGAAAAACCATTTAGTTATTCAATGAAAGGAAAAATGGGTGTTTTGTATTTGGCAGAGACTACTTTTGCATTAGAAATGGAGATATCAATAAAGGATATTTTATTCTATTTTGATTTATAGCAAAAAAGTTCTATGACAGATATACTTTAGTAAAATCTTTCATTTCAAATTAGAGACATTTTCTAGACAACATGAAAATTAGGATTTTATTTCTAATGAAAATTAGGATTTCATTTGGGATAACTTAAACTTTAAAAAATTCACCTAATGTTGAGGATGGTGAAATATTACAATTTCAAATAAAGCAGTTCAGTCTCTTAACGTATGTTAAATGCCAACAAGCCAGTTCTGTGGAAGTCTGCTTGTTTGAATTTATTTTGTTAAAGTTAATTAGAACCTTCCTCTGATTGTAGTACTAAACAATTTTTAACATAATTATCTGAAATTGAGTAAGGCATAGAGCTTTTGAGATGGTTGTTTTTCTGATGTTGTTGAATCTTAACACATTGTAAAAAATTTTCCAAAAAAAGTTTAATTAAAATAAAGTAGAATTCTTCTGTAAACCAATTCAGTAGCCTTTGCCACCAGCTTTCAGTGTGTATTTCTTCTTCCAGGTGGACATAGCTGACATTGAGAATGAAGAGAACCGCTACCGCCTATTCATGGAACTCCTGGAATCTAGTCACCAGGAGGCTGAATTTCAGCACTTGGTTTTACTTTTGCAAGCTTGGCCACCTATGAAAAGTGAATATGTGTAAGTATTAACATAAAATTAGCCTAATTAGAGTTCTTTTGTTTGGACTTTAGCCCTAAAAATGTTGCACCTTCAAAAGAATCAATGAAATAATAATTATATGTGTGTGCGTAGTCAGTATTTGCCTTTAGAGGAATTTAAAATTGTTTTTGAAATATCACAGTGTCTTTCCATTTCTCCTTGCCCCTAAACCCTAATATTTTATTCAAAAGTAGCAGACAGTGCTTGATAATATCTGATTTATGAGGTCAACAAAAACAATGTAGTTTCAGTATTTTCGCCAGGAAATTTCTTGACTGTCTTAACACAGCTTACAGTGCCAACTTGAGAATCCAAAAGGAATAAATGAATAATTCCTACTTATTAAGAACACAATGTTATGTGCAATTTACATATATTATCAGTCACTCACACAACACACCTACAAGGGAAGGTGATGTTATCTGATTTTATACATGAAGGAAATTGAGGCTCAGAAGTTAAACAACTTCAGGCTTCACATGGCTAATAAGTGGAGGAGACAGAATTCTAACCAACTGCTGGCTACCTTCACAGCCCGTGTTGTTTCCTCTGTCACGCTGAGTTGCAGCTGCCACCCATACCTGCATGGAGTACTTATTCAGTCCTTGTGGTATTAGCCACGGAACGTACCCCTTTCCTTGGGAAGACGTGGCCAGATTTCCTCTGAGTGCATGGGCTGGCTCTCATGAGCTGTGGCTTCTCATTGGCAAAATGGTATGAGCACCAATGCCCTTGCCACAAGCGCCTGTTTGGCCCAGGACTGATCTTGCTCTCCCCACGCTCAGCTGACATACTCTCCCCCAGGCCAGTGAACATCTCTGAGGTTAAAGAAGGATGCTTTTCTGAAAATGAAGTCCTATAACCTGTGAGCAGTTAGGACTGCCAGCAAATATCTGGAAAAGGTTCCACGAGACTGTTTGGAATTTCCAAAGCAAACCAAGGACAATGGTGCTTTCATTTTGTGGTATTTTTTTTAACCAAGTGTTTTCAGCAAAAAAAGAAATGTTTCTTAGATCTCTTACCTTTGTGGCAGCGATGACATGCTGACTTGTATTTAAGAACAGGTTCTTACCTTCACTGTTTGAAATCCACAGTGCAGGCTCTCACATCATAACACCGTTAGTTCACAGTGCACTTGTGTTAGCCACCAGTGGTCTTCGTGTGTGTGCCTTCAGAGCTCGGGGTGCTTGTTCAGAGCAGGGTCCTGGATCCTGTGCTCAACTTGCGGAGTCCAGCTCTCCGTACTGGGACCTGGGAATCTGTTCTGAACAAACTCCTGGGTGAGACTTATGTGACACAGGTGTGGAGCCCAGTGATGAGATTGCCACTAATGCCATACTTTTGTAAGGAAATGAATTATTAGAATCGAATTGTAGATTTCATCATACCCTCATTTCCCAATTCAAAATATGACGCCTCTAGGAGATTAACTTTAGTTTACAGTTTCTTTTACTTTTAGAACACTGACCATTTAAAATCATTCATTTATTCACAAGAATCAAAATCAGCTTGACTTAAAACATTTATTGCATTTAAAACATTTAGTGCGTTTGTAAACCAAAAGTCTTAACTTTTAAAGTTATGTTCTTTTGTAGCCACATATGAAATGGAATTTGTAAATTGCTAACCTGAGTTTTATAAAACTGCTTTATTAAATCATTAGAATCAGAACAAAGCATTTCCCAGTCTGCTCACCCCTTCCCCTCCTATCATTCATGTCTCCTCTGCCTAAGAGATAACAAGGGCATAAGTCAAATATTCTGGAGGATGTGTGATGGGATGCTTTACAAACAGGTTCTCAGAAGTACTTTTGAATATTTTTTTTTCTTTTAGACAATCCAAATGAATAAATAAATCACCAAAAAAGGAGTGGGGGTGGAAGAAAGGGAGGATAGTGTGACAATGATGGCATGTTGCCCATCAACACAAAAAGGTTACAACTTAAGAAATTCGTTGGATCCACATGACTGTAATTTACTAGTGCCAACTTTGGTTTTTTAGCTTTAGTTCCTTGTAGGAAAATGCATGAAAAAATACTAGGTTTGTACTTAAGGAGGATTCATTGTTTTCATCCAGTGTATCACTGCTGGCTGGTGAAAAACATATCTTGATAATTTGTTACCAAAGCCTTGTTGCCCATTGGTTCACCATGCTGGGCAAGCAGCATTTCTCCTACAATGAGAAAAACTGTAGAGAAGAACCCAGGAGAGCCGAGTTCAGACTTTGCAAGAGGAGAAAAAAGGGGAAGTCCTTGAGTGTAGGAAGACTCCTCAGCACACCAGACACTCTCACAGAACTGTGTGTACCTTGAAGTAAGCAGCGTTCTTTGTTCTCACAGGTTGTCAGTTTGAGCTGAGACACAAAGGCTTTGCCAAGGGCTCGTCCCCTTGTTACTGTTGCACTTGAAATTCTTTTCAGGGCCTGAGGAATAAAATTCTTTCAAGGGCAAGACCATCCCTGGTTGTTCAATGTCTAGAATGTAGTGCTGTGCTAATGAACCAACAGACTCTTCATAAATAGTAATTTTTTCTTAATGTAAGTAAAATCAGTACACTGCTCCTGGGGCCATGAAATGAATTTACCATTAACTTGTCAATGGAAATGTAAATTGTGATGTTTCTATGAAACACAGGGTAGTGTCAGTAAAGACAAGGGAAAGAAAAGGCAAACTTTTGTGTGCTTTTATGTTTCCAATACAGGGAAACAATATGAAGCCCAAAGTGTGATCTTCATACTACTTGCCTGTGGCTTCCTCAACCTATGCTCCCCAGCTGACCTCTGCTATGCAGTACCCTGATTGTAACTTAGTCCTGCCCTGACCCCATTACAATAACAATGATAATAATAATAATATCAGCAAGAGGCAGTATTTATGTAGTAAATAGTAATGTGTGCTTGCTATTAACACTGATTCTTCACAACTACATAGATCATTCATTAAAGCAACTCTTCAAGGAAAAAAAGACATTAAATAGCTTTACACAATGAAAAAAACTGAGACCCAGAAGGGTGTGGCTTCCCCAGAACCATACAACTAGGCAAAAGTACTAAATAACTTCTCTGAGGATCCAAGTAGCCAGAATCTGAGCCCGAGTCTGTCTGGCTTCACAAAGCCTGTGCTGTTTCAATGCCACTTACTACCCCTGTGTTGCTGGGCTACTTGGTGATACCACAGGAAGCTGCTTTTTCTCCTTAAGGTGTTGTCTTTTCTACAAGGTTGACTTCAAGCAGCACGTCATCTAGATTCTGATTGTAATTTACCATAAGCATTTCACTTGTTTTAAAATTTATCACAATTATGATAGCTTTAGTCATTTCCAATGCCTTGTATTTTTCTCCATAAACACCAGCATAACCAATAATCCATGGGTGAGACTAGCTACAGTGATGCTAACCAGATGTACGATGGAGAACAAGGAAGAATTGGGGAATGAAGTTTTGAAAATGTGTCGCTCTTTGTATAACACCAAGCAGATGCTGCCTGTAGAGGTGAGTGGATATTTTGAGTGCTTTCCTAAGGAGTAGCCCTTTGCTTATCAGAACTCTTTATTATAAGCAATCCCAGTGACTGGGCTTGAGGAACATTTCGCTTAAGTAATTACTGGTAAAGGCCATAATTTCTGATGGATCAGATGAAGAAAAGTGATGCTGAAAGGATCCTCTGAGGCTGCTGTCTTTTCGTGGGAGCCAGCGTTTCCTGTACAAGTCCCAGAGTATAACCCAGTTTTCAGTTTCTTCTAGACGCCATTTTTTGTCAAACTGAAGTTTCTGTTCCAAGTGGCCATGGTAGCTCATGCATTATCTGTCTGAACTAGGCCAGCTGGCATAGTAGTAGTCAACTTTAGCACTCTTCTCAGTAGGTAACCAACCACTTTGAATTTTACATGCTTTTTAACATCATTGTAACAAGATTGCATAACCACAAAATTTTTTCTCTGCAAAGTATGGTCAAAATTCAGGCACCTCCTTTTTGACCTTTGTTCTCTTGTTTGATCCCATGGTTTGACTGTCACAGAGACATTTTATATATATATACGCACATATATATATACACACACAGAAACACATATGTGTATATATATGTATGGAGAGAAAGAGGGAGAACGTTCTAAAGTAAGCACATGTTAATTTCAGCTCACTGCTATGGATCCCACCTCAGCAGTATGTTATTTGAATAATTTACTGTCTTAAATTTAAGCATTTGGATAATGGCATTAAATTGATTTTGCATTCCTACTCTGTAGGAGATAAACTTGAAAATAAATTTGTAAATATGATCCTTTGAATCCTTATTGTAATCGCTCAAGGAAAATATTCTCGTGAATGCACATGTAATGAATTGTTTTCTGAATGAGGGCTTGGATTTTTTTTATTGAATTTTAAAATATTTTATCCATTTAAAGAAGTCTTCCAACTACCAGAATGACACAATTATTCTACAAAATAAAGTACCAACACCGAAAATTACCTCCCCTTACTCTAGTGAAGTTGTGATTTGCGCTGTGGACCAAGGTCTGCTTGTATCAGCCACTTATGAACCTGTGATCTGCTCTGCTATACTGTGGGCACCTGGAGAGGGGAACTGTGGCTATATCATGTCTGTGTCACCCAGGGCCGGATTCAGCCCACTGCATAGTGTAGGGACTCGGTGCACTTCATTATCCCCACCAAAGGAAGCAACATGTAAATAACATGAGATTCACCTTCGCTTGAATATAAGCTAAGGTCAAGCATTATTAGATCGGGACCAAAGACCAGCAGTGTTGTACTGTCAGCTCTGTCGAATCTAGGTAAGGAAAGCATTGTTTAAGGTCTCCTGTTACTGCCTAACAGGCAGGTGGTAATGGTGATGACTAACATTTGCTAACACTCTTGGGCTTCCATCTATATTGCCTCCTTTAACCTTCAGCACCTTCTCTAAGGAGATTCATTTATCTCCACTTGACAGCTGATGGATTGGAGGGGTTGAGGTCAAGGGTCTTGCTCCTGCTTCTTCAGGCAGTGAATGGTGGGTCTGATCTTTAAATCAAGTCTCTGTGCTTGAAAGCTTGAAAAAGGAATTCTTCCAGAGGAGCCATTCCTACTACATTTGGGAGACATATGAATTTTGAATGTCTCTTATGCAATCATATAAGTGTTACTGTCCGTTTTCCCTTTTCAATACTTCCTTCAAGAATGGCCTATAGAATTTAGCATCTAGATGATCAGTGTTTAAGACATAAGGTTGTTAGGATCTGTGTCATTGTCTAAAGATGTTTATTTGTTCTTTAAAATACCCTTATTGGTTTGGTTTTACTATAACTTTTGCAAGGCAAGGAATGTAAGTTGGCCATGACATGGCCACTGCATGCTTGACCCTGACATCATCTCACCAGCTAGCTAATCAAGGCTCAGTAACAGTTATGTATGTCAGCCTTCCCCAAACCCCAGGCCGAGGACCAGTGTCAGTCCGTGGCCTCTTAGGTACCAGACCGCACTGCAGGAAGTGAGTGGCTGGCGAAGAGTGAAGCTTCATCTGTATTTACAGCCACTCCCATCACTTACTACCATCTCAGTTCCACCTCTGGTCATATCAGTGGTGGCACAAGATTCTCATAGGAACACAAGCCGTATTGTGAACAGCACATGCGAGGGATCTGGGTCGTGCACTCCTTATTCCTTATGATGATCCGTCACTGTCTCCCATCAGCCCTTGATGGGACCATCTAGTTGCAGGAAAACAAGCTCAGGGTTCCCACTGATTCTACATTATGGTGAGTTGTATAATTATTTCATTAGATATTACAGTGTAATACTAATAGAAATAAAGTGCACAATAAATATAATGTGCTTGAATCATCCCCAAACCAACCCCTCCCCAAGTCCATGGAATGATTTTCCCCCACGAAACCAGTCCCTGGGGCCAAAAGGCCTATAGGGACCACTTGATGTGTATTATCTTTTAGCCGCCTGGGAATAGGTCCTAGACATATCTGTGTCCATAGCAGTAATATTCTCGTCAGCACTCCATTTACATTTTACATACATAGAAGAAAAGCGTGTTATTTTTATTGATGAATGTGTAAGAAGCTGTGCTTTCCGTTTCCTATCGGCAAATGACTTGTTGGTTAAATGAAAAGTTCTGATTTAGCTGTGATGATTCAACTCCCTAATAAGTGTCTACAGCCAGAGGGAGGTACTTTGACAAATAGAGTAATACATTAAGTTTATTTGCAGGGGTCTCATTTGATCTCAGAATCATGTGGTCGGTGTTTGCTAAGTGTTTTTAAGAGGTCAGAAAAGATAGCACAGCACCTAAAGCACACATCTATTAGAGTACTCCTCACACACACCATGGGAAGGGATTTACTGCCTCTGTTCTTTATTAGGACTGGGAGCACCTTAAGGGCAGGGAACATCATACATAGTAGAACAGAAGGAGCTCTAGTAATGCTTGAAGCTGTACTGTTTCTCTTCCAGACTGGGCCACATCTATGTGAACGTGAGAAAAGCACCAAACTCTCTGGATCTTTGTTTTCTGGTCTGTGAAAGAAGAGGTTAAGCTGGATGAGAAAATGCTAGTTCTGTCTATTCTCTTTTTTTTTTTTTTTTTTGAGACGGAGTCTCGCTCTGCCGCCCGGGCTGGAGTGCAGTGGCCGGATCTCAGCTCACTGCAAGCTCCGCCTCCCGGGTTCCCGCCATTCTCCTGCCTCAGCCTCCCGAGTAGCTGGGACTACAGGCGCCCGCCACTTCGCCCGGCTAGTTTTTTGTATTTTTTAATAGAGACGGGGTTTCACCGTGTTAGCCAGGATGGTCTCGATCTCCTGACCTCGTGATCCGCCCGTCTCGGCCTCCCAAAGTGCTGGGATTACAGGCTTGAGCCACCGCGCCCAGCCAGTTCTGTCTATTCTCTAAGGAGAATGAGCTGAGGCTGTATGTGTACTGCTTCATCCATAGCACAGAATTCACTACCTTTCATAAATTTGTAATTCTCTCAGGATGAGAGAGGAGGTACTGGGTTAAACCCCATTGCAAAGTAGGTCATTATCATGTCTCTTTAATTTGATGAAACAAAAGATAATTATTCAAGGAGTTCTCTTGTCACAGTGACTTTCCTTCATTTTCCTTAAGCTGACTCAGTTTCTGTCTCTCAATTGGACACATTTATAGATTTTTTTTTTCCTGAGGCTGCTGTGATTAGAGGCTATTTGCAAATGGTATGTACTGTTTTTACTGATGGCTAAATATGCTTAAATGTAAAATAAAAGCGTTACAGAGGAAGGAACATTTCTATTAAAAAGTGGCAGTATCTTGTTAAGTTTATTTTACTACATTTGGAAGCTGAAGAGTTTAATTTCAGAGTTCCGCAATGTTTTATATCACTGTGGTGGTACAATTTTCTGTTACTTAGGACTTTTTTTCCTAAATTCAATACCTTTGGTTGTCCTACTCCATGATTTAGGAAACGCGTGTGCCCTACTGTTTATGTCAGAGTACTTAAGAGTACTCACCTTTTTCTTCATCTCCATTTCCCGTTTTTCACTGAGGTCCCATACTTACAGAGTTTTAAAAAAATTCGTGACTCCTTAGAATGCCTTCGTGACTCTTGCTGTTGCTCCTGGGACTTGCTTACTTAGGGCCATGATGGTTTTCCTGATGAAAATATTACCAGCAGGATGAGTGACTTTCTCACAGGTCCTGTGTCCCACAGTCTCAAAAGTTCTGTGTCCTTCTAATCAGCTTGTATCCGTGGCAGTATATAAAGCACTCTCAAGAGTCAGGGATAGGTAGAATAAGAAATTGGCATAAAGCAGTTTGTTGGCATTTATAGATTTAAAATTCCAAGGTCCAGCTATTTGTGACTGACCCTGCAGGTCCATGATTTCGCTGAGACACAACATGAGTTAGTCACCGATGCTCTGGGTCTGTTGCACGGGATTAAGTCACCCAGCTGGTGAGAGAACCTTAATAATTCCCAGCTTCTCAATCTCAATGTGATTGTTCTCTATCAGGGTTGAGCCACTTTTGCTAATGTCAAGAGCTTGATTTTTAGAATCAGACAAGTTATGCCATAACATTCAAGTTATTTAACCATTTTACCTCTGCTTTCCCCATCTGATTAGTAGGGCTGAGATCACACCTTTGTCAAAGGATTTGAGGAGAAATTAAATGAGATGATGCATATTAAAACAAAGTATGTAACAAACACTTGATGTTCAGCTCAGAGCAGCTGCCTTGCCGGTAGAGATTACAGTCCAAGAGGCACGGTTAGTGCCCTGGAGATTGAGCAGCAGGCCCAGCACAACCTGAGAGGCTCTGGAGAACACAAAACCAAAGCCCAGGTACAGTGCCTGGTGGCCAGTGTGGAGGCCCAGCTGGCCAAGATCGTGATCAACCTGGGGCTGCAGAACCAGCAGTGCCAGGGGCTTCTGGACATCCAGGCAACAGCAGTGGGAGCTCAGCCCATTCTAGGCCTGCTGGAGGGCAAGGACTGCAAGCTGCCTTGCAGCCCCCATGCAATGCCCGGGACTTGTGATAAGCCCCTCGGTCTCTGCATCACCAATCCCTGCACACCTTGTGCCCCTAGTTCCTGCTGCAGGCCCTGCAGGACCTTTCGATGCTAGATACTCCAGGGACAGTAGGAGAGTTGTGTAAGGACAGAAGGCATATTGGCGAACTGATCCTGCTTCTCTCATGACTGTCAGGCCATGGGAACAGTGCCCCAGTGCATCTTCATAAACCATAGTCCACAGGGAGAACAAACACCCGGGTTTGTGGCCTGGCTCTAAGCCTGGGCCCACCTAATCCTCTCCATCCAAGGACTCTCTTGTTCTCTGTCCTCATGGTCTGACAGGTTTGAACTGCAAAGGCCTATCAAATGAGGTATTTTGTGGTTTTTCTCTGCTGCTTTGACCTTTTTTGCAGTTCCCCAAATCCCTTTGTAAATCTCTTAATAAACGTTCTCTTGCAACATGGGGCAAATAGCGAACAAACATAGTAGAGGATTTAGCACTTAAAGATAGAGTAAGTATTTGGCCAATAATTGGTAGCTAAGAGATGAAAAGTAGTCAGTGGCTCACCTAAAGTGGGTTCCTCCATTCTTGGATGTCCTTGCCTTGCTATATGCCATCTATCCATTATGCTTGCTCAGAGGGGCACACAGGTTATTCCATAAAATTTGTCATGAAAGCCAAGGTCAGCCAAATGTTATGCTATGTCTAAATATCATAAGGCATTGAGAAATACTTGTTTACTCATCACTGATAACTTACTGAGTGAGCAAATGTTTGTTCAGAGAGGGAATTATATACAAGAAGTTTTAGGTATGGCATGTACCAAGCAAGTTTAGAATACAGAGAAGGAGCAATATTCTTGCCTGCAAGCAAGGCAGGTCGACCAATGAATGACTGTCATAATACAAGATAAAAGATAAGGTGGGAAATATTTATACAGTACATTTAGCACATTGAGTGCTAACCTGGGACATTCAAGGGTGCTTTTGCAGAGGAAGTACAGTTTTTCTGTGCATTTTAAAACTGAGACTTAAAGAGCAAGTAGATGGTTAATCAGACAGAGAAAGAGCAAAGGTTACCCTGTGTGTAAACACCTGGAGGTGTGAGAGAGTCCAGCGCCCAGCAGCCACCCTGCCTAACATGGTAGCCACTGCCCCATGTGGCTTATCAAAACCTTTAAGTAAAATTTAGAATGCAGTTCCTCGGTTGCACTCAAATGTAGCTTTTGCCTTGTGGCTACGGTATTGAACAGAGCAGATACAGAATGTGTGGGTTGTGTCAGAAGGGGCCCCGCACAGCGCTTGGTGTGGAATGCACGGGTGGGGAGTGCTGCCATGACCGGGAGGAGGAGGAGGAGGCCCCAGGATGCGGCCAGCCAGGCCGGAGTGCCATGCTCAGGGGCTTGTTTCATGCTCCCAAATAATCTTCTGCAGGGTCCGGCATCCCGGATGAAAAGTCTGTCTGTTTCTTTGCCCCAGATGCTTGGTGAGACTGCTCTGTGTCACGGGTTCTTGAAGGCACACACCATACTTTTTTGAATTAGAATTCCCAATGTGTGAAGAATGTGTTTTACAAACCGCTCCCCTGCTGGTATTGATCATTGCCACACAGGTTTGTGTAGCACAGCCTTCTACTCTGAAATGTGAGGGCCTTGCCGATTTCAAGAAGAGACGTGCTGGGTGAAAGCTAAAACTAAAATGAGCAGAATTCCAAAGAGAACTTTATCCTGAGTTTTAAATGGGAGCTTACTTGTGCCATTCTTATTTTATCGATGCTCTATAATAATGTAAAGCAACTTTGAAAATATAGTAAATTTGAGTTTTTCTTCTCTGATCTGCTGTCTGAATGGCACAAGAGAAAAATCAATCCCGTGAATGCCAGTAATTGTCAGTTCTTTAGAGCAACCGTTGCTTTAGTGTAGTGGAGTCACTCATTGTCTGGTTTTTGGTCCAAAGTGTTCTCTTCTTTGTGTTACAGCTAAAGTCAGGACCCAAATGGCAACACAGCTCAGCAGGGCAAAACAGTTTGCAAATCTTGTTCTTATTGTTTTATGCTTTTGTTGTAAAGGATTATCATTTGCTATCTTATATGAAAGCCTGCTGTGTGACTACAGGTTCAGTTAGTAAAATAAAGGGCTGAGAATAAAATTCAGATCTGCCTTTGGAGATCCAAACACATTTTCATTTTTCTGCAACACCGTTTTCATGAAGATAGACTGTCTTAAATATATTAAGGAGTCAATTCATTTTGACATTAAAATGATAGACACATTTTAAAATATTTTATTTGCTGATTTCCTTCGTTTCAGTGAATGAAAACTAGAGGTTGTTAACAAGATTAACAATTGATAATTCTTTTTGTTATTATTAAGCCTCCACTATATGCTGAGCATTGTATGCTGTATTCATCAACACAAACTCTCTCTCTCTCTCACACACACACACACACACACACACCACAAAACCTGCAAAGGAGCTATAAATACATACATTTTACTTATGAGGAAACTAGGGCTATGAGAGTTTAGGAAAATAAATTATACCACTGTATCTGTACAATGAGTATTACAAAGCCATTAAAAAGCAGTATCGTAGATGAATATCTGATAGCTTGGAAATCTGTACACAGTTTACTGTGAACCAAGTGAAGTGGGTGCCAACTCCCATATTCAGTATATTCAGTGTGGTCCCAGGTGAGGCTTTAAACACACACACACACACACACACAAACACACACACACACACACACGGGCTACTATAGAAAAAGGGGTGGAATGATCTAGCCAGAACCGCGCTGGTGAGAAGTGCGTCCTGGAGTTCTTGCTCACCCCTGCTCTGTGGTTTCAGGCTGTGAAGGAGCTTTGTCTGCTGCTGCTCAACCAGTCCCTCCTGCTTCCATCTCTGAAACTTCTCCTCGAGAGCCGAGATGAGCATCTGCGCGAGATGGCACTGGAGCAAATCACAGCAGTCACTACGGTATGCCCAGTTGAATTTACTTTCTTTTTTCTTTTTGTTAATGTTTCAAAGGAATGAATTAGCACTTTCATTCTCATAAATAACACCATGGTTAATTGAAGACTACTATATCTACAGTCTTCTCTGACCACAATAGCTGTTCCAGTTTTGTCCCAGCAGTGTATGGTTATTTTACAAACATTTACTAAGCTCTTCCCATGAACCAGATACAGTGTTTTGGTGCCCAGAATACAAATCCAAATAAGAAGACAGTTTTCTAGAGAAGCAGGATGATAGTCTCCTTAAGAAGATCAAAGCAGCCATGAACTAGCAGTCCTCTAGCTACTTAAAATTTGGGTCTAGGGAACTCCCATCATTGCACAGGTTTTCCATCTGTGGATGTGTGTGTTAGGTTATCCACTAATTAAAGGTAAGACAGTGGTTATAAGTAGTGTATACTGGCACCATCTGAAATCTCAAACTCTGATTTCCTTTGGCAACCTTCTTGTCTTGAAGCGTAATGTACCGGCATCAGGTTGAGATTTCTCCCTCAAGTCCTGTTGCCTTGTTATTATGATTAGGAGGAAACTTTCTCTTCTCATTTAAAATTTTTCACTTTAGGATTAGATAGCTTAGGGTTGTGTTTTAATGAACTCATGTTATATGATCCTTACTGAAGCCCTTTTGTGTGGAGATCATTCTTTCATTTGAAGTGTGTGTGTGTCTGAGTATCTACACTATACACATATACATATGTACACACATATGTAATTTTACATTGTATATATACATATATATGTATGTAACAAAATGTGACAAACAAAAATGTGTCAGGATATCTTCTAGGGACCAGAGAAGGAAGGCGAATCTAGAGCAGAGATATATGCTTGCTACTTAAGACAGTGAAGAGGTTGATGAAAAGACATCACTGATACAAAGTTTTCTTAATGACAAAGGATACAGAAAATTATATAAATAGTTACAGACAGCAGAATTTAATTGTATTTGGAAATAATCATTATGAATAAAATGAGAAAATCAAATGCCTTTATTCATTTAGATATGTTTTTAAAATGATGTAAAAGCTCCCGCAAGGGTTTTGTGAATACCCTACCTTATCACCAATAATTAATCAGAACAGAGGCCTCTTTGGGACCTTGACTGAAGTAGGGAATCAAGAGGACTTGTCTTTCAGTAGCCCTCCCACCTATCTATGCTAAAATGAAAGTTGCATAACTTTGAGAATTTATATGAAACAGAATTATAATGAGTTTTTTCTCTTAGCTAGTTTTTTCTTATAAATTCAAGAAATTGGGAAGAAGAGAAAAAACTTCTGCATATTCTCAGTGCATTTTTTTCCCTCCCCACCCTCGTACACTGTGTTAGGCATTCTCACAAAAATTTGCCATGGGCCTCTTTGAGAATAAAACAGTGATGTATTATACATTGCCTTTCCATATTCATCATACGTGGAGCTCTCTTGATGTAGTCCTGGATCCCATGGGCAGAGTGTATTGGTTTTCATTTTAAAGATTCTTTATCTCAAATGCTTCTGTCAGAACTGCAGCTAGCACAGGCGGCCCCTAACTGCTAACTAATCTTACTACCCACACAACAGCACTTCCTCCCACATACCTACACAGTAACTATCAAAATAAGAAACTAAATGGTAACACTGCAGTGCCCCAGTCCCTTTAATATGGCACTGATTTACTTCCGTAACACTTTGATCTGCACATTAGATGTGTTGCATGGTGCTAAGCCTGTGGTTTTGAAACTGCTCTGCAGACTGTGAGTAGTTTGCCTGTGGTTGTGATGATAGCACACGAAACGTCTGTGCCTTTCAGATCCAGGAATCAAAGCCACAGGTATAAATTGCTAAGATGAGTCACTTGCCTACCATTCAGATCCTTCCTTTTAGAAATTCAGTAATGAGACTGAACCATAACTTCTCTGCACTAAGTTGAATGCTCACATTAGGCTAGCCCATCTGTGCCCTAAAAATGTGTCCCACAAAATGCTAAGTGTGTTTGGACCTTTTGCAGTCCCCAGAGAGCTAAGGTTTTACAGAGGTTCCATTTAAAAAACATTTTTTAACTTTTTGAGATAATTTGAAATTCACGCTCAGTTGTGAGAAATAATATAGCAAGGCCTCTGGCATTCTTCACCCAGTTTCCCCCAATGGTGACATCTTTCATAACTAGAGTATACAGGTTGAACACCTCTAATCCAGAAATCCAAAATGGCCCCAAATTCAACACTTTTGAACACCAACATGACGTTCAAAGGAAATGCGCATTAAAATGTTTCAGATTCCAGACGTCAGATTTTCAGATTAGGAATACTCAACACGTAAGTATAATGCAAATATTTCAAAATCTGAAAAAAACCTGACACTTCTGATCTCAAGCTTTTTGGAAGGGATACTCACCTGTAATATTATGACCCAGTTGCTGACATTGATTCAATCTGTTGACACTATATAGATTTTATGAGTTTTGCAGACACTCCCGAGTGTGTGTGTGTGTGTCTCCATGTGACATTGTCACCTGTAACTTCGTATGACCACTAACTGCAGTCAAGGTACGAGACACAAGGATCTCTCATACTGTCCACCTTCTTCCTCCCCACCTCCTGAACAACCCCTGGCAACTGCTAACTGTTCTCTATAATTGTATCATTGTAAAATGCTACATAGATAAAATATGAAATCACTACCATTCATCATTGCTTTTCCAACACCATTGAAGGGTTATGTTACACTTTTCTAAGGGAAGAGTTTCAGTGGGCATTTTGGCAGGACTCATGTCCAGCGGTTTTTAAGTCATCCTTGGTATTGCAATGAAAAATAGAAAACTTTGGCTTTCTTTTGGTTGCTTTTATTTTGCTATTCACCGTGTCCATTAGCAGGGTGCTTGAGTTCATCAATAACTTTAGTTTTCCCCTTATTGGTCGTTGACAGTAGTTCCTATTGACATTAAAGGGGAAACATCTGGCAGAGGCGCTCCGCTGATAGCAGTCTCTCCTGCACGGTGTGCAGATCCGAGTGGAAAAACACCCCCATTTGTTTGCTGATAGCATGTATTATTTTGCTATTCATTACAAGATACTGACAGCTTTATAGGTGTTTACAGTTAAAAGGATGACGCTTAAGTGCTGATGCCAGAGACTGTACTGACTTTTCCTCTAGTAGTAGTAGTACTCATTTCTTTCTCTAAGCTTTTCCGAAATTGCAGACCTCTGGTGCATGTAACCTTTTATAAATGGCCAACAGCCTCTTTCCTGGGCCAGAAATGGGAAGCCCTTCCTTGGCATTGTATTGATGATGAACAATTAAAACTCTGCACGGTGTAGACTTCTGGATTACCTTCTCCATCACTCCCAGTGAGATTGAGAGCTCACTTCCAAAGCCTTATTCTCTCTAAGAAGGGCAGCGCTGCTGATGTGTTTGACTTGCATCTCTGGAATATTTTCTGTTTGGATGGAAGCATCTTGACTTATTTCATTAAAATATGCAGATATGTATTTATAAGGGTTTTTTTGTATACTGAAAATTCCCATTTTGTAATTCCCTATTTACAACAGCTCCTGCTCTTCGTTGCTTCCTTCTCTTTGGTACTGCTCAATGCCTCTATGCGACCCCTCCTCCCAGGGATTGTCCTGGACTCTGCTGTCTGTTAAAATAGTAATGCATGGGGTTATAAAAGAAGCGCTTAGGACCTCTAGCACCTAATTAAGGGCTTCTCCTTGATGCCAATAATTACCATCTTTCAAATCCCACCTCTTTGCCAAGTGCTATAATAGGCACATTGTCTCTTTATCCTAATGATCGTATGAGAAGATATTATTATTTTGGTTTCACAGATGAAAACACTGAGGCTCAGGGGTCACAGAGCTAGTAAGCAGCCAAAGCTGAAATGTAAACCCCAGACCTAACATTCCAAGTCTATACTCTACCATGCTTCTGCTTTTAACGTAAGTAGGAAGGCTTTATTACATTGGAAAAGGATTATTTCTACAGAGGAATGAAGTTGTTGAAAGCACCTTGAGGCATATAATATTAGCTCTGCAAAAGACTAGAGCAGACCTAGCCCAACAACTTGCCTAGCTATGCTTCCTTTTTAAGCGCACTCACTCTCCCAGGCTCCAGCTGAACACTGCAGGGGGCTATGTGCCATTTTGGGTGAGATTATGACATGAGAGCACCTCCTAAATGAAACCTGTATCCCTTTATCTTGATCACATTGACCTTAGTCCTGCCCTGGGGATTTTCTCAGATTACTAAGGTCCTTCTTCCAGTGACAGCCCGTCACGTATTTGATAAATGTGATTCCTGTCCCCTGTAACCTAGCCATGAAGGCACCAGAAGCTTCTAGCATTATTTTACAGTGGCCAGCGTCCAGGCTGGGGGGAGAACCATAAAGATTTTCAGAAAAGCATATGTGAATCGACATATTTATACAAAACCAGGAAACCTTTCTGTCTTTGTTCCCCTTTAACTCTATCCAGGTTTCCAGCCAGGACCTCCCTGGCGAGAGTCTCTTCCACCCTGGAGTGCCCCCTCAGTATTGCCTTCTCTTTGCCCAGCCCAGGTTTACACACTTGCCCTCTTGCCTCAGCATGACATGATAGCAGGCACATTGGGTTGGCGTCCTAACAACCTCGTTTGATGTCTGCAGAGTCCGTCTTCGGTATTAACTGAAGATTAACTGAAATTAACACTAATGTCAGTTGGTTTTCTTCTAAGTGTATCCAAACCAAGTTAAGCTGAAGTGAGCCAAACGATTCAAGGAATCGAGCAAGAACTAGCCTTTGCTCTTCCAGACACCAGTTGGTGGTAAACTGGCCTCTTTGACAATCAGTCTTCTTTGGGCTGTTTGAGTGCCAGGCTCTTTTCTCAAAATTGTGGGTATGTCTACTTATTTCTAACTATCATTTTAACCTGAACATACAGAGATCTGACCTACACCTCCTGTCAGTCATCCTTAGCCTGTGCTGGGTCTCCTTGATAAAGGAAGCTC